ATAGCACTTATAAAATCAAGGTAAATTAAGCTTAAATCAAACTAAAAACTAAATAGAGCTGAAGAAAAAGGAAACATGCTGTATATATCACACTTCTGTCATACATAAAGATGCATGTGTATATACTTGTATATATAAACTTGTAAATGTAGAATATAGGGCAACTCTTTGTTATGTGGTCTATTAACTTCTTGTGTCATGGATTGTGAATAGTGGACAAAGAAGTCAATGTGTAGATACTCTTGCCTCTTTGTAATAGTTACAAATAAACCACTGGGCAAAAAATTCAAAGAAGAGTTTTATTTTCCTTTGCCATGCAAGTGAAAAATTATCAGGTTTCATATCAGGTTATTTTGATCCACTGTAAGTTTTCGTAATAATTTAATATAGCTGCCTTTTGGGCGCCTGGGTGGCTCAGTTGGTTAAGCTGCCTTTTATCTGTTAGTGAAGTTTATTTCCAGGTCACACTAAGAAGCTTCTCAAAAAGCTCCTGTGATTCTCAACTCTGTTCAGTAGAATCACCTAAGTAGCTTAAATACACATACTCCTGATTCTTGGGAAAAAGAAATACAGGTAAAAGCTGAGAAGAGATAAAATGAAATACTAAAAAAATACTCAATAACCCCCTCAAAAGAAAGAATTGTAGTCTTACAAGTTTACATTATCTATAAAGTGGCATAATACCAATTCAAGGTGGGTACTGGCAAGATAAGGATGCATATTACAATACTTACAATATTCACCAGGAAAAAGAAAGAGGGAATGAAAAACCGAGAAAAGACAGAACAGAGCAAGTAACAAAATGCTAGACTTATTAGGAATTACAGTAAATAAAAATGAGCTTAACATTCCAAATTATAAGATTATCAAACTGGGTAAAAAGTAGGACCTCACCATATGTTATTTATAAACATCTCACAATGGCACATGTAGGTTGACATAATGACAGATCGGTTAAAATAAAAGGGTGGGAAGAGATAAACCATGAAAACAATAGGCATTAGAAAACTGGTACGGTTATAACAATAGCAAAGAAAGTAGACTTCAAGACAAAAAAAAAATTACCAGAAACAAAGAGAAACATTTAATGAATATAACAGGCTAAATTCCTCTAGAAGACATAATAACCCAAAATCTGAAGGTGCTAAATAACAAAGCTTAAAAATACACAAAACAAAGTTAGCAGAAATTTTTTTAATACTACATTTTTATTTTCTAAAGAAAGGTTTTAGACCAATGAGCTAGAAGCTAGAAAAAGAAAGCAAATTAATCCCCAACTAAACAGAACTGAGAAAATAATAAAGACAAGAAATTAAATCAATAACAGAAAATGGACAAAAATGTAAGAAAAGCATTCAAGACAAAAGTATATTATTTGAAAAGATTAACAAAACTGATAAACGTCTAGAAAAATTGACCCCTAAAAAAAGCCAAAAACTATATTAGGAATAAGAAGGATCATCACTACAGCTCCTATAGACACTAATATTATAATAAGGAAATATTATTAACAACTTAGATACATTTTTACAAATTAGAGGAAAAGGACAAATTCCTGGAAAAACACAAATTAACAAAACTGACAGAGAAGAACTTGGTAATCTTAAGATTCATATTTGTTAAGGAAGTTAACAGAGTAATCAAAAATCTTCCTATTAAAAAAAAATGTCCAGGTGGCTTCTTAGTAAATACTACCAAATCTAAGAAATAATACCAATCTCGTAAAAACTCCTTGAGAAAATATAGGAGAAGGGACCACTTTCCTAGTCACATTATGAGAACAGCATAACTCTTATACCAAAACCTAATAAGGACATCTCAAAGGAAAGAAAATTATACTCTTCACAAGTATAAACACAAAAATCCTTATACAAACATTACCAATTTGTATCCAATAATATAAAAATATTATAATACATTATGACCAAGGATTTAAAAGAATGCAAATCAGCCTCAGCATTTGAAAAGTAATCAATGTAACTCATTTCACTAATAGAATGAAGAAATCTCACACGAACAGCTAAATAGATAGAGGGAAAAATTAAGTCAAAATCCAACATCCATGATAAAAATATTCAGCCAACTAGGAGTAGAAGGGAACTTCCTCAGCCTATGAAAAGGCACCCACAGGGCACCTGGGTGGCTCAGTCGTTAAGCGTCTGCCTTCGGCTCGGGTCATGATCCCAGAGTCCTGGGATCAAGCCCCGCGTCAGGTTCCCAGGACCGCGGGGAGCCTGCTTCTCCCTCTTCCACTCCCCCTGCTTGTGTTCCCTCTCTCGCTGTGCCTCTCTGTGTCAAAAAATAAATTAAAAATCTTAAAAAAAAATCTTAAAAAAAACACAAAGGCACCCACAAAAATCCTGCAGTGAATTTTCACACTTAATGGGGAAATACTGAATGCTTATTCTCTAAAATCTGGAACAAAATAAGGATGTTCACTCTCACTATCGCTATTCAATATTGTAACGGAGGTCTTAGACAGTCCAACAAGACAAGAAAAAAGAATTTTTAAAAGGCATAAATATTGGCAAGGAAGAAGCAAAACTCTCTTCATGTACATGTGATATGATTATATATAGAGAAAATATATTAGATCTAATAAGTGAATTTAGTGAGAATATAGGAGGTCAATATAAAAGATTCAATTACATTTCTATATGACATTAAGAAACAATTGGTAATTAAATTTTAAAAAGCAATTCCATTTGAATAAATTTAGTAAAAAATGTGAAAGATCCCTACACTGTAAACTATAAAATATGTGAAGAAAAATTAAATTCCTATATAAATAGAGAGATAAACCATCTTCTTGGATTTGAAAGACCCAGCACTGCCAAATTGCTTAATAGATTCCATGCAATCACAAAACAATCAGGCTTTTTGTTTAAAAAACAAACAAACCTGATAAGCAGGTCCAAAATTGTATATGGAAGTGCAAAGTGCCCAGACAAGTTAAAACAGCCAAGATAATTTGGAATAAGAGCAGACTTGATGACTCATACAACCTGATTTTTTGGTAACAGTTTTGAGATACTTAAAATATCTCCGTTTATCGAGTAACCAGAACTCTCATGCATTGCTCAAATGAGTATAAAATGGTACTACCTCTCTGAAAAATGGCAGTTTCTATAAAGTTAGACATTCACATACCCAATTACCCAGCAAGTCCTCTCTAGGTATTTACCCTAAGAAAAATGAAAGACTTTTACAAGAATATCCACTGTGTCTTATTCACTGCAGCTTAAAGACCAGACACAACCCAAATGTTCAGCCCTGGGAGAATGGATTAAAAAGTTGTGGTTAATTCATTTAATGTTACTACTCAGCACTAAAAATTAAAAAAGTATCAACAACATTGAGGAACATTAAGACATTATGTTGAATGAAATAAAGTGGACAAAAAATACATACTGTGTGTTCCCATTTACATGAAGTTTAAGAATTGACCAAAGTAAGCTATGGGGCTAGAACTCACAAAGGTAGTTGTCCCTGCTGTGGCGGTGAGGTGAGGACCAACTGCAAAGATGGAAATGTTTTATATTTGGTTTGAGTGTTCATTACACAGGGGTATATGCTTGTCATTGAACTATACCCTAAAATCTGTACATTTTACCATATGCAAATGAAATCTCAAAAAGCATTCAAAAATATTTTAAGAGGCTGGATATGAGTGATTCACATTTTCTTCTGGGTGGCTTAGATTGATTGATCTTTGTGTTACCTGAAGCTCAGTCTGCAGGATTTGCTGCTTAAGAACCCTGGAATCCCAGGCTTGAGTGCAGAGGTGCGCCCAACCAAGCCCCTCCCAGGCAGGCCAGCGTAGCCAGGCAGCCCCACAAGCCAGCAGCACACCAGATTGGCAGGGCCTCCCTGATTACCTTCCTTATATCAACCCTGACACCAGCTTAGCCATCGGTGCAGTAAATTTCAGACATATGCCAATTCTAAATTACTCAGAAATTAATACCCTGTGAAGCAGGATTGCATAGGGAGGAAAGAACACAGGATAAGGGTCCAAAGTTTGGAGTTATATTCCCAGTGCATCTATTCCCAGGCCCTGTGATCTTAGGCAAATCCCCAATTTTCTGATCGTTAGAAGATGGGATGACACACAACTGCCCAGGCAACCTCCCCAGGCTTTGAGGAAGAATAGCTGAGAGGCATAGATGGAAGCCTGCTATAAAATGCAAAGCTCTATGTGAATTTATAGTTCTATTGCCGCTGTTTTATTCAATAGCCTGACTCCTACCTCCCTCCCTACACACGCATACACCGTGACCTATTTTTGAAAACTTTAAATTAAAACCTTTGTCAGGGATGCCTGGGTGGCTCAGTTGTTAAGTGTCTGCCTTCAGCTCAGGTCATGATCCCAGGGTCCTGGGATCGAGCCCCGCATCGGGCTCCCTGCTCAGCGGGAAGCCTGCTTCTCCCTCTCCCACTCCCCCTGCTTGTGTTCCCTCTCTTGCTGTGTCTCTCTCTGTCAAATAAATAAATAAAATCTTTAAAACCTTTGTCAGAGGTAGAGAAATATTAACAGCCAAGTCTGTTTCTTTCAGAAACTGTGGAGAAATGCTGGTTCACGGCTTCTCAAATTCACTGTGGGTCCCATCCACTTGGATATACAGACAATCAAGATTCGGATATCACTTTTAACCTGAGCATCAGATTTTTTTTTAAGATTTTATTTATTTATTTATTTGAGAGAGAAAGAGAGCACATGAGAGGGGGGAGGGTCAGAGGGAGAAGCAGACTCCCTGCTGAGGAGGGAGCCCGATGCGGGACTTGATCCAGGGACTCCAGGATCATGACCTGAGCCAAAGGCAGTCGCTTAACCAACTGAGCCACCCAGGCGCCCCATGAGCATCAGATTTTAACTACAGACACTTTCCTGCTCCCAGTTAGAAGACGAAGCCCCTGCCTGCTTCTCTCCTCACTCCTTACTAATGCCAGGCAGGACCTCACACTCCTCTTTAGAAAGTAAACCCTGAGAGCCAACTCACCTGCTGGCGAAGGTCAAGGCCAAAGCTGTGGCCAGGTGAGGCATCAGCCGAAGGGTCTGTGTTTGGTGCTCAATGATCTTGACTTCTTCCTTGGCTTTAGGCCCAAACTGCCTCCGGCTAGAGAGAATTAAGCAGACACAATTTTTACCAAAATTCAATAGGCAACTTCATTTCCTGAGCTAAACATGTCAAGCAGCCATTTGCCTTTCAAATACTTCAGGATACAGAATGCCTGAGTCTCCTAAAATGTGGTTAAGATAATTAGATATCAAAAGTTTCTTAGGACAGTCCAACAAAAAGCTTTTCAGCTCTTTTGGAAATTAATCTTCCCACCATGGAATATTTTTAAAGCAGCCTATCTATTTAATTAACACACAGAGTAATTTTTACTCCTTAACATTTACCTGGCATTTTATGTTCCAAGTGCCCTGTGATCATTAATTATTCAGCTTTTAAGTTTGTGACATAATTAATAGGACAGGAGCAATATCCTAGGACATATTTCAAAAGGACATTCTCAACAATAAGGGAACGCTAACCCTGGTGCTCCTGTCAGATTCACAGGCAGGTCATTACTTTCAGCCCACCTAAATCCCCCCTGCAGTTCCGCACAGAAAGGTGTCCACATCCTGCCTTAAATCCTGTGCTTTAGGAACAGCGGCTGTGTTTTGCTCTGAGGCAGTGGTACCGGGGTGAATGAAGGCCTTCCTCAGAGCAGTTCATGAAGTGGCGTGGGATTACCCCCACAGGCAACACCCATGGACTAATCCCCCGGAATCCCTCGGCAGCAGACTGCAAAGAGCCGGGCCTGTCGGAAGTCACCCCCTCCCCAGCCCTTTGAGGCTCCACAGCCCTGGGCTTGGCAGCCTCCTATCTTTGAACATCTCCGACCTTCATACTGATTTTTGAAAGAACATCTCACACACACATGCCTGCAAACACACACACACACACACAGATGCATGCACATAGGGGCACGCCCACACAGGTACACACGGTGCAGAGCAGGCTCGTGCTTCAGGCACCAGTGAAGTGAGGACACCTATCTATCCCTCACGAGGAGAGATGGGAAACAGCAATGCTTAAGAACGTTTATATTTGATAGACTTTCTTTAACATAACTTGATGCTTTAATATTGTCTTTATTTGTTCTTAAAAGAAGGACACCGTGATCTTCTTAGTGCATACGATGTCTAGAATTCATAGTCCCTGTTGTGTGGGTGGGAGGGGGTAATGACACGCATGACCAGAGGCACACCCAGGGGCGGCTGCTTTCGAGCTTTATGAGTGCAGGCTTGTTGTCTATGCGCACAAACTTCCCCAGGCGCAGTCTAACCACCCCGCAGTTGGTTGTACCAAGTGCCCTGTGATCATTAATTATTCAGCTTTTAAGTTTGTGACATAATTAATAGGACGGGAGCAATATCCCAGGACATATTTCAAAAGGACATTCTCAACAAGGAGGCAACGCTAACCCTGGTGCTCCTGTCGGATTCACAGGCAGGTCATTACTTTCAGCCCACCTAAATCCCCCCTGCAGTTCCGCACAGAAAGGTGTCCACATCCTGCCTGAGCATCACTCCCCAGCTTGGCCCTTGGTCCATCCCAGGGTTCTCCAACGCCAGCGGGGCATGGTGCCAAATGAGGCCTGACAGCCTGTAGGGAAACCTCTCAGCTTCTGCTGGAATACTGAGAAACCAGTGAGAAAACACAGATCCAACAATGGCATCATCCTGACGTCAGGTCATTTAAAATTCCATTTGTCCGCACTCTCTTAACTTCTAATTTTGAATGCTATGTTTATCCTGTAGCTTTTTCTATGCTCGCCGTGGCTAAAATTTTGTGTACTGAAGGTGTTCACTGCCACACGAGACTCACTCCTCTGGGGGACATATATGCACCTGCTCTGTGTCAGCACCCCTTTAGGCTCTGGGTGCCCACCAGGGTCAAGGAGGCCAAGGCCCAGCCATTGAGCTCACAACCCTGGACAGAGAGAGAACTAGACCAGGTGACATGGCAGGAGAGCCTTGCCTATACCGCCCCCACTCACCCCCCTCCGTCAATCACCAGTATTTCCTAATGTGCTGCTAGAAGGAACTTCACCGACACAGCCCCAGGTATGGCCTCACCATACTGATCACAACACCTTTTAGTTTTGGTTTTGCTATAAAATAATTACAATAGCAATACTGCTTTAGACAGCATCCCATCAAATTTTCTGTTTTTATGTGTGAAGTGTTTTGCCTTGGCCCCATACACAGCATGAATGAATGAATGAATTTTGCCAATGAAGAAATGTAGATGAAGCACAACAGAGTGGCTCACTTAAGACCTCAGGGAAAGTCTTCGGATGCCAGATCTGACCCCTGACCTGGTGTGCCTCAGTTTCCCAATTCAGGCACACCTTCTAACTGTCCCATTTCCTCTTTGACCCTCATAGTTCAATTAGGATGACAGGTGCAGAGCAGAAAGAGGCCACCAGGAGCCCATGTGGCAGGGCTCAGGCCTTTTCTTGTACTGTTAGGGAGGAAGGAGTTTCGCTAGTGAGTTGCTGCAGACTTATCAGGCAATTTCACAAAACTCGGGAGATTACACAAGACTCTGAATCTCCAGCTTTTCTTGAAAACTAGGAAGATCTGGCAATTCTGGACCCCATTCCCATGATCTGATCCACTGGAGCTCAGAAGCTGCTGACTCCTCCGTTTGGGGCATGGCTGTTCCCCAGGGTCCCCAGAGCCCTTTCCGCTCGCTGACATTACCTGCAGTCCTGGGAGGCACTGAGTCTTCAACCCCTGCCACAGGGGATTTCTTTTTTTCATCCACAATAAATTTACATCAGCATCCTAACCTGTTAATTAAGTTCTGGGATTATGATATACGGCCAGGAATAGGCATTCTCTATGAGTCTATGAATTCATTAACAGAACTAGAGAGCAAAACAGAACAGCTCTGGCCAGCTCATACAGCATGAAATCCAAATGCTTCAGCTTGGCATTCAAGAGCCTACTTTGGCCTTACTTGAGTGTCCCAACTGTTTTTCCTGCTAAGCCCCTTCAGACATTTCCCGTCCCGGGCCTCTGTCCAGGCAAGGCACTCAGCCAACCTCACTTGGCTGCCACACATCATATTTTTGGTGGCTTAGCCAAATGTCCTCTCCTCCCATTGACATTTTCTCCCATTCGTGACATGCCCCTTCAAAAACCAAACCAAACCAATCAAAGCAGGAAGCTACTTCTCCTCAGAATGCCCTGAGCATTTCACCTGTTGTTCCTCCCCCATGGGAGCACTTCTACCTTTCACGCTGGTGTCATGTGCAACCTGTACTGACCACATGTTTTGATGCATTGCTTTCTGGGGCCTTCTTTACTGACCCTTGAGGGACTGGCCCTCCCAGGGCTGGCCAAGGCCTATGGAGAGCAAAGGGCTACTCTGCCTGTCCATCTTTCCCATGCAAACTCACCAAACCAGAGCCCACATCCCCAACCACCTCCTTTACCTTTTACTCTGGGCCACTATCCCCCAGGGCTAGGTACCAGACAACAAGGGACAGCCCTTATGCTTCAAAACCTTCTGAAATTATTCAAACTAGCCAATCCTAAACCTTCTTAGCCTGCTTGCCCTTCCTTCCCCATCCTTTCTCACAGAAACCACAATAAAAGCTCTTGTCCATGTTTCCCCCTTGCTCCTGGCTCTTAACCATCCCTGGTGCTTCCCCATATGGCCTTGCATGGCCTGGCACACCCCTTCCTCTTGGGAACTGTAACAAGCTATCTTTTCAATGGTGGTCATCCCCTGATCTGTTGGCCTCACCATACCTGAACAACATTAAAACGTACCGGGCCTGCCTATTCTGTCTTGATGTGCCCCAGCTTGGCCGGGTATGGGTGCTCAAGAAAGAGAAGGCAAGATGACAGATGGAATGTCCCACCATCTCCCAGCAGTTCCAACCCAACTTCTCCACCCACCCACCATTCCATGTCTCCTTTGAATGTTTACTTAGAGATGTCCCAGTAAAAGGCCAATGGTCAGACACTGGAGTGCTGAGTGGGAGTCAGCAGGCAGTTAGGACAGGGATGGAAGAAGCAAAAAAGATGAGGAATCCACCCCACCCTTATGCCCAACAGCCCACCCCACTGCTGGTTTGGTTTGTGTTGTTTTGTTGTTTTTTGTTTTTGTTTTGTGCCAGGAACTAGAAGAAATGAGTCCGCAGAAGGCACACAGCACCACCCACCTTCCCTCCCTGTCTCTGGCCCAAGACAGTGACAGTCCCCAAAGCTTTGAGCTGAGGGTTCCCTCTGGCTCCTCACCCATCAGGTGTGTTCTTTGGCTTCCCCAGGACAAAAGTGATACTAAAGTCTAGTGACCCTTCTCTTGCCCAGAGATGCAGCCAGAGGTCATCCCTGTGACTGCCACTATCAGCCTCCAAACTGGCAGCCTGGCTCCAACAGAGGCAGCAGAGAGAGCGGAACTCAAGTCCCTGTGCGCTGAGAGGGCGTGGCCAGTGCAGACACCCTGCCCTGCCGCTGTGTGGTCACCCTCCTGTTTACGCTCTCAGACGCAGCAACGGCACTGAGGGTCATGATGGTCCAGGCCCGACTTCTGGTTGCCAGCGTCCTGGCAGACTGCCCTGAACCCAGCTCACCAGGCTGTAATCCCTGCAGCTGGCCAGCAATTACTGCCTGCCAGACCTTTTTACTGCTCCAGTTTATGATCTATATGGGCACCATATTCTTCCTGTCCTTTTCCGCCGCTAGGTTACTATTTTTCTTTAAAAACACATGTAAAGGCTATATTTTTCTCTGTAATCATAATTTTTATTTCAGTGCCAAAAAAGCCTCAAAGTCACTGAGCTCAAATTTTTCATGCTCTTTAAAAACAAAAAGTGGTGCATGTGCACACAGCAACATCCATGCGAAAATAAAGCCGCAGTTCAGGGAATGCTGTGAATGATGCCATTTAAAATTATAGATTTGAAAAGCTATTTCTGGATTCCAGCAACTCATAAGGAATAGAGGAAACATTTATTTTGGGTTGTTTTATTTCATTCCCACTCAGTTTTGAACACGGCTGCTTAAAGCAACATTCACGGAAAGTGACACGGCTATTAATCACCAATG